AGCTAGCGGTGAAAGGGAAAGTAGAGGAATTGGGAGTTTCGCTTCAGATTAGATTCGAGGCTCTAAACGACGTAACTGACGTAAGCGTTGACCAAATGAACGATAATTCTATTACTGTTATCAAAAAGTTCAAAATGAAAATTGGCGGTAAAATCACTAGAGAGGACACTGTCAAACTATCTCGTGAGACGGAAAACCTCATTAGAGACGACAAACAATAAAAGCATTCAACGCAACCGAGAAAATAGAGATAGTGGAGCTTTTGAAGTTGATCAATAGGCGCAAGGTATCTGACATCAGAAGGTGTAACATAGAGAGAATCGAGCAGGTTGTAAAAAGCAGCAGAAGCCTAAAAGCTTTGAAGGGAGACTTATGCATAGGCAAAAACTGTATATATGCATTAAGGAAGCAGGAAGGCAAAGTTATAATCAATAGGGATATGGTGGTTGAGGTGGCGAAGGAGTTTTACGGAGAGCTGTACAAAAGCCGAAGCCACCAGGATGATACTGTGAGAAGCGATGATATCCCATAGGACTTTGACATCCTACCAGAAATCACTGAGGAAGTGAATGAAAGCCTTAAAACGAAGGAAGGAGGAAAAATAAGAGGAAAAGAACGGCAGACAGGTTAACCAGCCTTATGGGCAGCCGGTTTGCTACCCTGCGCATGGGAGGGCGATGTGCGAGATGAAAGATACAGAGCAGAGAGGGAAGAGCGATAAACACAACACGTTCGGCAGCACACGCGCGCACACTCAGTCTTAAAAGGAATACAAAGAGGCAATGCCGCTGGGGAGGATAAGGTAACAATGGACCTGCTAAAATATAATATGGCGAAAAAATTGTGTTAGAAAACCTATCTATCTTATACGAAGAGTATTTTGATGGTAATGGTACCAAAATCCAGGAAGAACGCCATCATCATTTTAATCCTTAAAAAAGAGATTTCAAGGATCTGAAAATTTACAAGCTGATCTGCCTACTCTCAGTTGTCTACGAACTATTACCATAAATAATGGCTAATAGAATTAAGGTGACATTACAGTTCAATCAACCAAAGTACCAATAAGGATTTTGTACAGGCTACTCCAAAATAGACCGTATTCATAAAATTAATCAGATAAATAAATCCATAGAATACAACAAATCTCTATACATAGCTTTCATAGAGTATGAAAATGTGTTTGGCTCAGTAGAGACATCAGCAGTAATGCACGCACTACAAAATCAGGACATCGACAAACCCTAAATAAACAAACTAGGCGAAATATACAGTGGATCCACAGCCACCATAGCTCTGCATAAAGAAAGCGACAGAATCCGAATAAAGTAATGTTTAGGACAGGAAGACACGATCTCTCCAATGTTATACACCATGTGTTTTCCAGACCCTAGATTGGGAAGAGTTAGCAATAAGAGTTAATGAAGAGTATCTTATAGTAACCTGCAATTCGCTGATAGGTTATACCTAGAAACCAGATTATAGGCAAAGGCCTATTTTGTGCCTTGCGTTCCTATCGTTCCAATTTGATATATGAGCACGAATTAGAGGTAATAAGTACTTTTTAGTGTTCTATATTTCTTACAAATGCCTATTTTTGGAGTTGGTGCCTAAATTTTTATAGGCTCCTAGAAATGCCTACTTTCCAAATCAGCGCCTATACGAGCGCTATTTAAGCTCAATTTCGGTTTTCAGTGCCATTTGAAACGGTTATTCATGTAAAAAAGACAAAATTGCAATTTTGAATTGATATGAGGTTCAACAATGTCCTCTATTTCTAACAACTTCCGCAAAAAAAAAAAACGCTAACCGCAGAGAAAGGGCACTTGCTGGCCACCTTACGCCACAGAGCTGACATGCTGCGAGCGATTGAAGGGGGAGCATGAGAAGTACACAAGACGCTATTTTAGCAGCCCTAAGTGGAAGCATATCTCAACGTCTGCAGGAAAATGAGGAGAGAGAAGTGAAGATGAGGTAAGAAATAAGAGGGGCGTCTTTGGGTGAGGACGTGGCGACCGTCTTCTACAGACAGCTGTCCAGTGGTGTCCTGAGAAAACTGGAGAACCGTCCTAAAAACCTAGGTGTTGCGTTGGGAAGGAAACAGCAGGCTTTTGTGCGCAGCCGCGGGTAGGTGGAGAACGAATGAAAAACCGTGGAGGGCCAGAGATGGAATGCTCATGTTGATTCAGTGGTGGTGAAGGCCGCCAAATTGTTATACTTTATACAGCGAAGCCTGAGACAAGTACCGGTATGTTTACAATCAATAGTGCATTTAGCATACATTCACCATATGCCTGAATACACTTGTGCCATATAAGACTCTTTGGTACACGTCTGTAAGTGCAAAAACTTGAAGAAATATAGAACAGGGCTGCAAGGTTTCTCCTAAGCCATTCCTAAAAAATGACAGCCGTACCTATATGCAAAGTGAACTATTATAGGAATTTATCATCGCGTCGAATTAAACTACGGTTAAAGCGCCTATGTCAAGAATTTGATGGTAGAACTCGCATTCGAAAATGAATGCACCTAACAGTCGTCTTCGAGCTATGGCAGTTGTTTTGAGATTTTAGAATGTCGTATCAGGTCTAATATTTATAATATTCAATTTTTTGTTGTATTCATGACTGAAGGAAATGGCTTATAAAGAAAACAAGTGTGCTCTATCAATGAAGGCGTTTTTTCTTTGACATTTACCCCATATGCCGCAGCGCCTTCTGTTAAACTATGTGATCAGCACGCGGCTTTTGTTTTGTTTGTAATTTACTTATTTAACCAACCTTCTTTAGCAGATATAAGAAGTTGTAGTAAGACAATAGGTTCTAGCATGCCCAATGAAAAGAGTTCTACTACGGTGATTTTCCAAATTCGTTCACTACGAGCCGTAAAACCATAATGTGAAGAGGCAAGCTTGAATCTCTTGCTTCCATCTCCATGTAGCCATCGCGAGCCTAATTCCTTCCGTGCTCTTTTCGGTATCGCGGCTGGAAGATCACATGATGCATAGATACCAATAACAACATGCGTAAGCAAGGACCCGTGAGCATGACGTGTCCCAGCCTAGTCGTGCACAAACGCCATCGATGTTGTGTCATATCAGCGTTCGCTGTTGTGTATTACCCGTTTGTGTAGGATGGATCAGTCAGTGCACATGCTTTTGGAGAGACTGCAATGGATCGTGTATCGTGACCATAATACACGACGTCGCTCAGCAGAAACTGAAACATACTTTTTTAGTGCCTGAAAATCCGGCCTCTATGTATAACATAGCCTTAATGAGGAACACAGGGAACGAATTACAGCTCATTATTACTGAACTGGAAACCGACAGCAGAAGAGTGGGCCTGAAAATTAATAGGCACAAAGCTAAAGTAATGTGCAACAGTCTCAGCATAAAATATCACTTTGCGATAGGTGAAGAGATGCTGGATGTTGTAAAGAAATATATCCACTTAGGACAGGTGGCAACCACGGGGCCAAACAATGAGAGTAAAATAACTAGAAGAATAAGGATGGAGTAAATCACATTCAGCAAGCTTTCTCAAATCATGAATTGTAATCTGCCACAAGCTTCAAGACAAAGGTTTATAACAGCTGCATCTTGCCGGTACTTACCTAAGAAGCAGAATTTTGCCGGCATAAAGAGGGGGTTCAGCTTAAAATGAGGACGACGCCGCGAGTGATAGAAACGAATATGATTGGTGTAACCTTAAGAGACAAAAAGAAAGCAGAGTGGGTCAGGAAGCAAACCAGGGTGATATATATCTTAGTTGAAATCAAGAAGAAATGGACAAGGGCCGGGCACGTAGCACTTAGCACGTAGGCAGGATAATCGCTGGTCATTAGGTGTAACTGAATGGATTCCCACAGCAGGAAAACGCATGTTAAGGAGACAAAAAGTTAGGTGGGCTGATGAGATTAAAAAGTTCACAGGTATAACGTGCAGCTGAAAGCACAAGACTGGTTGATTGGCGGATCATGGGAGAGGCCTTTGCCCTGCAGTGGGCGTAGTCAGGCTTATGGTGGTGATGATGAAATTGTATGCTTTACGTTAAAGCGCTCGTTATATCTTCTTTGTGTCAAGGCATGATTCGAGAGTGAACACTCGTCATGTCATGAGATGTTTTCTTGAGTATTTTGCTTGTACGCCTGGTAACAACCCTTTTTATTGCGATAGCAATTACTTGCAAGGACACTCTTGGCTGGACTTTGCCGCTGGCGTCGGCATCACCATCCTTTAGCGTATATGTAAACCTATCTCTATACATAAAATTGCAAAAAAGAGAAACAATTCACAAAAAGACTCCGGCGCTGAATCAAAGGTCCGACCTCTTGCTCGTGAGTTCGAGGCGTTAGTCATTGAGCCATGAAAGAGCACCTCTTTCAACGTTGAGACGGCAAGCTATTTATATCTACCACTAACCACTGACGACGTCCGTATTGGGGGAACTATCGTGTTTTCAGCAATACGAGCGAGATGGCGCAATCAACGGCGTCGTCACAATGCGGTGGCACGATCTCTCAGTCCCCAGCGTACTTTCCTTCGCGGATAGAGAAGGGGATGGATGCTCACAAGTGCGCGTGCTTGCCTCGTCATGGGGATAATTGTACGCCTTGGGCTCTCCCCGGAATGATTTGTTGTAGGTACCACGCACACAACGGTCACTGCAGTCGCGGCACGGTGCGCGTTTGCGAAAAGGGACCGCTTTTCAGACACATCAAAGTAACAACTGAGACACTTATTCACGTGAGTAAGGCATGCACGTTTAGATCTGCTTGGCATTCTTCACGTGACATTCCAACTTTTCGCTATCGAAATCATCGCTTGACCTTTGCGGCAAGGCTGTGACTTTTTCTAGTCGACAAAGTAAAATTGCTTAGTTATTTTCTTTTAAAAACATACTGGCGCTTTATACCACGGCTTTGAAAACATTTACTGGCTTAATAAATGCTCTATGTAAATATCTTATGTGTAAATGCATCGTCATTACATTCTCTAGGCGCACACATCGACATATCGATGCAGCAGCTCGCCGAATAGAGGAGGAAAAGCTGGTGAGCAAAGCAACTATTCTGCGAAATCTGCTACTTGAAAAGAAGTTGACGTTTGGAGAAATCTTCACCTATACTAGCGATTTTATACTGGCAGGTGTGGACACCGTAAGTGCTCTACTACTAATCCTGTCTCAACACAACGGAATGAAAAATATAGCAGCAGACTCATTTTTTCAGACTGCTTTTGCAATGACCTGCTTGCTGTTTCAATTAGCGAAGAACCAAGAAGCTCAGAAAAAAGTACGCCAAGAAGTTCAGGCAGCTGTTGAAGAGAACTCACGTACTATTATGCCTGAACCGGAAAACATGCCGTTCCTACAGGCGCGCCTTAAGGAAAGCCTGAGGTAAGTGTATCAATTGGGGAAGTCAACAGCAATATTATGTTCACTGCACGTGCATGAACCAACTGTATGCTATTGAATACCATGAAGCTGTACGTGTAAAAAAAAAAACGTGTGTTTGGGGAAGAAAGAACGTGGATCTACCCTGGTGTATATAGGTTATTTTTGTGAGCTTAAAAAAAGAAATGCTTATACATATTGAGAGAAATGTATCATATTGTCATGTGGAACACGCATGTAGTGATTCCTATGTGTCAGAATGGCTACAGTAATCCTGCAACTACGCGCCGCTGCACTGCACCGCCTGTTTTGGTTTCAACGTTAAGTGCCGACGCCTAAACCCCAAGAGGGGCCGCGACGCCGCCGCCATCACCGCTTAAGAAGTGCGGCGCGTCTCCTTTTTCAATTCGAACGGGAAGCCGGACTATTACATACCTCTCGTAGTGGAGTGAAAAACAGCGCGAAACACGCGGCAGTGAAAGAAACGGACGAAGCTCTGACTTACAACCGCTTTGTTTCTAGCTTGATTTATCTTGTTTCAACCAGCCAAACTAAGCACTTTAGTACACTTCCTCTCTTAGAAGAAGTAGTACAGGATCTTAAGGGCGAAACTCTTCTAGCCAGGGCTCTGACTGCTATTGGTATAGCCGCTTGTTTTTATAGCTCCCGCGAGAGGCATAGTTGCCTGTGCTATAATTAAAAGGGCGGTGTTTGGATGACGCGTCGCCGCGTAGGTGGAGCGGTACACACATGCACTCTGCGGCTCCACACACTCTGCTGCTTACTCAATGCGTGCGCAGGCTACTCATCAAAAACACCGCAGAGGTGAAGGCAACTGTGGCAGGGCTCGCCGCGAACACCCTGCGGTGGGAGCCATTCAGACCCAAGCGGAGAGGGCTCGTCAGCAAGCGGATCATGCACTGGGGACCAGCGATGCAGAGGTGTCCCATAAGCGGCGGCAAGCGGACCCCGAGCAGAGGGTGGTACGAGGCCGGAGAGACGAAAGTGACGACAAGCGAACTTGAGAAAGGAACAAGCGCAGGATGCAGTGGCCACGTGCCTGAAGTGGTCGCTACCGGAGACTGGAGGCGCCAACGCACGCTTTGAGCACCACTTCCCAGACCACTCGTCTGTGGTATCGACCGCTCGTCATTCGATAATAATCTCAGCTTGTAGTTCACTGACGACAAAGCTCTAACCCTCTAAGAGAAGCGAGTTCCAGAGCTCATCGAAACAACCATCCTTTGTGGTGCCCAAAACGAAACTATCGTGCACTGCGTATTTGATTGCATCAAAACGTAAAATAGTACTCCTGGTGCATATAATTGCATGCTGATATGTAAATTAACAAACATTGTATATAAATAAGTGCACATACAATCACCCTGCAACAACGTGTCGCGGATTTATATGATGAGGGGGGTCAATGTTTCACGGTTGACAGATAAGCGGTGCAGCTTCGCCCCTCTCATCATCATTCACTTCGTCGAGATAGCGTCGATTTTTGTCACGAGAGGTCTAACAAGTACTGCAAACGAACGCTCTTCGAGGTGATGAAAATGACGTGCCTGCTGTACGGGAGTGCAGACATTGCTTCGAACCATGACCTGCACTTTTCCTGCGAGACTACGCGTCATGCTTGTTAAGCACGAGATACGCGCAGCAATCACTAAATTTACACGAAAGGGTCAGACGACCTCGTAACGCTTGGCTTAGAGCCGAAACTTCGGCATAAGCTGCAAACTGCCCAACTGCTTCGCATGAAATATATACACGAGTGCGTGGGTTCTGCCATATTTAATTTTTCCAGAAACTTTACTATTTCTCGCTAGACACGTTATTATAATTTCTCTCTGCACCCTTCCCCAATCACGACCGGCGCTGAAAACACCGCCTCTGCTACTGACAATTTCTGAGCAGCGCACATCTGCTATCTATCACTCGAGAAATATTTTTCATCCCTTTTAATTGCAGGTTGATGCCTCCTTCTCCTGGAATCTACAGAGTATTAGACCACGATGTTGTAATGTCAGGCTACGTTGTGCCAGCTGGGGTAGGTCTCGCTAGGTTTTCAAGCATTTACATATGAGTTTAAAATACTAAATTACTGGGTATCGTTTGCACAAGTGAAAGCCTGAAATTTTTGTAACCATTATTATAAGGAGGCAGCAACCAGCTGCCTCATTTCGAAAAAAAAACATTTCTTCAATTGCTATTCATATCGCCAATGCCACACCTACTTTTTATCGATGTTCGCACCGTGTACCAAATGTTAAAAAAAGACATGATAAATTAGTATTTGACCTGAAAAGTAACCTAATATTGATTTGCATGTTACAAGCCTGAAACAAGAAATTTTTGTTTACTGGGGTTCACCGCTTCGTCCTCTAGACGTTCAGAACATGATAGTCATATTGATAAACCCAGTGAATATATAATGAGGCAGTGTTAGCTGATGGTGAGCTCCCATGCCGCCTCTCCAAACACGTTTTATGTGAAGAAATAGCTCTGTAGGGCAGATTCTTACCACATTCTGACGCATTTTTCTGCAAAATTGAGTAGAAAATATTAGTAAAAAGCAATTGCAACAAGCAATGCTGTATTTGGGAGCTTGTAATTGTTATGCAAGTGTGTTATGCTTCTTTGAAAACAAAAAAATGGAAACTTGGAACAAGCAAATCTGTAGGCCTTTTTCAAAGCTGATATCAGGCTTATGTGAATGCCATCCGCTTTAACAGTAAAAGCAATTACTGGCTAATTCTTTTTTATCTTGCCCTTAAGTATTACAAAGGTTACATAGGTATTGCGAAAACCGCGTTGTGCCACTCGATGTGAGGGAGTGCTCCGCATGTTTTCCGAGTGAGGTACGTATTGAAGAAACTCATGATTGTGATCATCATCACCATCATAATTCTGACTACGCTCACTGCAGGGCAAAAGCCTCTCCCATGACCCGCCAATCACTCCGGTATTGTGCTATCTGCCACGTTATTGCTGTAACTTGTATTTCCCCGGCCCACTTAACTTTCAGTCTCCTCATCACGTGCGTGCCTTCTGTGGGAATCAGGTCAATTACCCTAATGACCAGCGATTATCTTTTTTATGGGCTACGAGCCCAGCCCATGTCCATTTATTCTTCTTAACTTCAACCATGGTATTCTTAACTCTGGTTTGTCCCCTGACTCGCTGGGCTCTCTTCTTGCCTCTTAAGGTTAGACCTGTCGTTTTGCTTTCCATAGTTCACTGCGTCGTCCTTAATACAAGCTGAACCCTCTTTATAAGCCTCCAGGTTTTTGTTCGGTAGGCAAGCTGCAGTGGCTACATACTTTCATCTTGATGGTTAGTGGTACATTACCATTCATGACTTGAGAATGCTTGCCGAATCAGATCCACCGCATCCTTGTTCTTCTGATTACTTCACCCTCATAGTTCGGCTCCGCACTTACTACCTCTCATGAGTAGACATAGTCCTGTACAATGCCCAGCATCTCGCCGCATATCGCTCTGTCTTAATCATGTTTATGAATACTCATGCCATGATTTTCATACAGAACTTGTTAGTTTTAGATTCTTTTGTAGACATTGGCCTTAACTATCTTACAGCCCCTACCTTCGTCTTTTATGCTGTTCTGTCAATTCCAGTGTATTCATGATCCCAGGAAGAATTGCGTGAAAAAAAGAGAAGTTCCGTTTTCGAAGCATTCGACTCTGTAAACATCGGGTACGACACAACCGAATAAGTGGTTACGCGCACAGATATCGCTAAATGACGTGCATTTCAATACAAAAAGAAACACAGAGGAACCATAGTGATATGTGCTTTTTTTCAGGTGCCAATCTTTATAGATTACTACGTGGCTGGGCGCATCACTGAAAATTTCGACAATCCGGAGCTTTTCTTGCCTGAACGCTGGCTAAAAGTGCAGCGAGAAGACTTACACTTTGACAGATACGCTTCCCTACCGTTCAGCTTTGGACCGCGCATGTGTCCGGGTCGAACAATGGCAGAGCTGCAGCTGTGCCTCCTTGCATCCAAGGTACGTGTGGACAAGGTTGACTGAGGCAACGTATTTGTCGCACGCAGGTGTCATTAGACTTCGGTGCACGTTAAAGCACACCACGTAGTCGAAATTTCCGGATCCCTTCACTATGGCGTCACTCATATACATATGGTGGTTGTGGGACGTTGAAACCCCACATATTAATTAATAATATATGCAGACGCCATAGCGAAACCCATATTAGGTTACATGTATGGTGAAACCTCCATCAGCATTAACTCTATGATGGGCGCCAACTCGGAAGCAGTATTCAAATGCTTTTATGCTGAAACATTTAGTGTACACCGTTTTTACAGCGATGCTGTTTAACGGCATACACTAAGCGCATACACTGACAGCTTACACTAGCATAAATTAACAGCATACATTGGCAGCATGCATATAACAGCATGCATTGAGCGTTTGACGGCGTACACTAACAGTTTGAGGGCAGACACCAGACAGGTTCACTGTTCAAGCTATACCCACAAGTTATATGTCATGCTATGAGTCAGAAACTGGTATGTGAGAAACGAATTGGGCAAGTACCACTATGGAACACAGTTCCACTAAAAATGAAGGCAACATTTATGTCTACAGACGATCACAGAATTATCATCATCATAAACTCCCCCCCTCCCCACACCCCCGGTTCTCTGAAAATGAAGAAGGCACCAGCTAGCCAAGCAAACAGGTATGTGCCGCTGCGCAGCCTGTCAGAAAACTGTTATAAACCTAAAGGGTTACGTGAAAAAATTTCTGCAATTAAAACAAAGCATACACATCCCACGTATACCTTGGGAATCGATGTGTTGCAAAACATGTGGATGGAAGTAGAGAGTGCAATTTTTTTTCCTGAACGAAATGTTACAAAGTGCTGCTAAAATATGTACAAATGCACGTACAGACATACGCTAAACAGACGCATATATTTTCTATAACCAGAATTAGCGTAAAACGATGGCCACAACAACATGGATATTAGCAACAACAGAAGCGGTAAGCTGATATGAAGTGCATGCCGGTGCTCGCAAGGATGGTAGCCCTGGACAGTGCTACATAAATCAACTTCAGTGGGTGGCGCTTAGCTACAATAGACATTAAACCAATGTGACAGCTGTATCGCCTGTATCTAATGTTTAGAAAATTAGATACCGAGTTCTGGAAGCCCAATTGACGTTTCGCGAAGATTAAAGTATACTAGAAGAAAAAATGCCCGCAGCTTCCCTCGGGGGAAGACTGAGCAGGATGCGGACCATATAATTGGTTAACGGGGTGTTAAAGTGCGACTTACTTGGGTCGATGGCTAAATTGGTTAACGTGGTTGTGAAATGGGGTGTTAAATTGCGACTTACTTGGGTCGATGGCTAAATTGGTTAACGTGGTTGTAGGAGGGGGTGTTAAATGAGTGAACACGTACACACGTATGCGAAAGGGCGGCGCTGGTCGAAGGGACGACGATCATTGTGTTTGTGGATTCGTTGGAATTCATTTCACCGCGACCTTGGACGTCGACGCGCCGTACAAACCAACCGACGAGCGGCAACTGAGCGAGCGAGCGCCGACCTTGAGTATATATACAGCACGGTGGCGCATGCACTGTCAGCTGTTGAATGTTCTCGAAGCGCGACGCCACATGCGCGTCCACTGGAGAATCAGGAGAATTGTAGATGTCGAACGCGGTGTGTAGAGGAGGAAGGGTGCACAGATGGTGGAGGAGTGAAGCGCGCGCGGTGTGTAGATGAGGAAGGGATGCACAGATGGTGGAAGAGTGGGCGACGGCGCGACGGTGCATGCGCGCGCGTCAGCTGTCGAATGTTCGAGAAGCGGTGCGGACGGCGCCCTACAAGGCGCGAGTATAAGATGCTCCGCATCTAAAAGAAAAATGGGAGACTTTTAAGCCCCGCATTTAGGGGTTGAACGCAATAGCGACATCCTTCCCTTAGTGCGTACTTCAAACACTCAGTGAATGAAACCTTTTCGAACTTGCTATGAACCCACTAATGTGCTTTAAAGGGCCACTCGCCAGGTTTGACAATTTTGAGCTGACAAGCGCAATTCGTAGACGAGGCGTTCATGATCACGTCTGCCAAAATTTGCAACGCTACACACCGCGGAAACGGATCGAATTTCAAGATGAAAGCTGCTCCCCCTCCCCTCTACCGGCACACGCGTAGAGAATGAGGGCATATCGTGGGCGTAGGAATGACCCTACGTACACAGCAATGCGGTCACGTTGGTCCTCCACGTATACGACTGTGCTCTGACGTTGTCAACAGTATAGCACGTGACATGGCGAAAGCTATTTAACGCAACATGCGTGGTTTATGTATTTGTTGCTTTAAGAGATGAATAAAACTTGAAATAAATACTGAGACGAAATAAAAAATTGTGCATGATCTTCTTAAATTGTTTTTCCCGTGAAATGCTACGAGATGCGGGGCTAATGCGCCAGCGTTTCGCATGCTTTTGGGTAACGGCGGTCAGCGCATTGAGCAGACGACCGCCGTGGAACGCTCCTACGCGTTCGCGCACTCATTGTGCTCATCTACTCTACCGCGTCTAAGCCAGCGTTTTGAAACAATCCCGCCGAAACAGGCAGAAGACCACTAAATAACGCTGGTCAACAAAGCAACGACACTCGCGTGCACGGGGGCTGGGCTTGTTTGGGCACGTCATGCTAACGTCACCTCTTGGTCGGATGCCGGAGAGGGTGGGGAAGAGGTTTGGCTTGCGAAGGTTACGTGGAGGAGTGGCAAGGGTTTCGAGCTCGCCGCCTCTAACCCTCGTTTCGCGCCGCTACAAAAAAAAAAAAACCTGTTTTCTCCGCTCATAACGAACCCATTAAAAAAATGGCAGCATATCTACGGAGTGAATGATGGAGAGTGGGGCGAAGAATTTGTCCGTCCATTCGTTCTTGCTTCTATCCGTCCATGCGTCCGTCAGTGTGACCGTCCATGCGTCCATCAGCCCGTCCGTGCGTGCGTCTGTTCGTGCGTCTGTTCGTGCGTCCGTCCCTGCGTTCGTCCATGCAGCCGCCCCTGCGTCCGTTCATGCGTCCATCCATGCATCTGTCTATGTGTCCGTTCGTCCATCTATTCAACACTCCAAGTACCACCATCTCACATCTTTTCATCATATATTCCCCATATAGAAGCACCGCCATCCAGCGGACATTCTAAGGACTAAGCGAGAGGTGGCACACGCACACTTTCTTACGGCTTGCGCTTCGGGTCCACTTCCCACCTTTAACCACCTCGAGTTCATGGTATATGCTAGTTCCCTGTATTCATGGCACTGCGGCTGAACGCTCGCTAAACCTTTCGAAAACCAAGGAGGTTACGCCCAGCGAGTATGACGTAGCAAACTTTTTCAGTCAGATAGTGCTCAATGTACATGTCAATGGCTGCTAAAGGGAAATGAGAGGTGGAGAATTCGGCTTGCGCTTCGTATCTACTTCCCATTTTTAACCACCTCGAGTTCATTCATGGTATATACAAGTTCATTGTATCATGGCACTGCGGCTCAACGCTCGCTAAACCTTTCTAAAGCTAAGGAGGTTACACCCAGCGAGTATAACGTAGCAACCCTTTCTTGTCAGATAGTGCTCAATGTACATACCAATGGCTGCTAGTAGTGATCGCAGCCTGCGCGTTAACTAAAAGCCGAATGCTCCTGTCTCTCATTCCTCATTAGCAGCCATTGACATGTAAATTGAGCACTATTTTTTATTGTTCAACAACGCACAGAAGAAAACTCTCACGGGCACCACCTTGGAAGTCAAAATGTTATACTTGTTACATACTACGGGGAACGAACGGGTGCCGCTATAAGGAGCTTCGCCCCTAAAAGTTTTGTGGCAAAACGTTCCTCATCGGACACACAACAACTTCCACACTCTAACTAAAATTCGGTATGGGGCGTGGTGAGTGGCCCTTCAAGGGAACAGGCAGTGGATGATCAGTGCAGTGGATGATCAGCTTTAAATCATGAAACCTATATAATAATCACATGTTTTGACGCCCAATAGCAACGTATCCGTGTACTAAGCATCATTAGTGCAATATTCCATGCTATAATAGGAAGCGTCTATAAAAGACGTCTGTGATTGTGAAACATGAAAGTTACTTCCAATGCATTTCTGAGCAGAGGAAGGTATTTTCACTCTATTCAAAAGCAGACAGGTGGCTTTGGGGCGGAATATCTCTTGCCACTCAAACAACTCGTGTTCATTCCCCACTCTGACCCAGAATTTTTTATTTATTTTATTTGCATCATTTGCGAATTTTCGGTCAAGCTATTTTTGCGCACACAACCAATGACGCCTACATCGATGCCGACACCAACGCCGACGCTGAAATTTTTGCGAAAGGAGCTCTTTAACGCTATATCACGTTAAAAATAGCTCCGAGCCCTGGCGTGGCTTTGTGGTATAACACTTCATGCCACGTGGACTGCTAGGGCTAGATTCTTGTAGGTTTACTGGCATTTATTCTTTGCATTCATCCGGTGAACTCTGCTCATCTGATATTTTCAAGACGTGGTCTTTCTTAAAGACCTTCGACGCAAAAATTTGGTCTGTCTGTCTGTCTGTCTGTCTGTCTGTCTGTCTGTCTGTCTGTCTGTCTGTCTGTCTGTCTGTCTCTTTGTCCGTCTGTACATTTGTCTGTGTGTACGCTCTTAACGATACCCCAAACGGCACCAAACGATGCCCCAAATGGCCGACCCCGTCCGCAGCGCCCACCAGTATTGCTCAAGTTTCAGCGTTCAAACTTGTGAAATTTTCAATTAAAGAGCAAATATTGTGCATATTTGAACGCGTCAAGAATTTGTTTGTGTGGGTTTATACTAGAAAAAGCATACATAAGTAATTCTAAGCACTGTAGCGTTTATTACGCTGCGCTGACAATGCAACGCCTGCACGAAAAGGAAAGTGTTTCCAACGCTTTGCTAAGACGACACGGTGGGGACACCTACCCGTCCCTTTGCATTCTACACCTTACCGCCTGCGATGCGGGTGCGCACGCCACGCGCTTCGGTTTCCAAGATAACTACCAGATAGCACTGAAGTCTCACGTGTTACGTGACTTCGTGCGCTCGTTCGCCTCCAATGCACGCTCGATGCACTTTAACGCAGCACTTCCAGAATACAATTCACCAATTTCCTAGCGCAGAACAATAAATAAGCGTTTTGTTCACTCTTTCAGGACGCAAAACTAGCGTCTTTCGAAGACATTTGCAGTGTGACATGGAGATACGGGGCCAATTTTTTCCTAATGCCCACGCGTTAAAATTACGCATGTCTGTCCTGGCCGTTCCTGAGTAGACATAAACTGTCTTTCACATGTGGCCCATACCCACATACATGTGGCACATACCCAACCGCGAATATGTGTCACACGTCTGTGGGAAAGGGTTTGACTATGTACGCGACAGGCTCGTGACATTATTCCTGTCACGACGAGCGAGTCGTATTTGTCTAATTTAAACTTCCTATACTAATTTTAGTTTTTCTGCAACCTAACGGGATGTTCACGAGAGCACCAGACGTAGGTGGCTGAATAGATAGATAGATAGATAGATAGATAGATAGATAGATAGATAGATAGATAGATAGATAGATAGATAGATAGATAGATAGATAGATAGATAGATAGATAGATAGAAGCTCAAAGTGTCTGCAGTACACAAAAAATGTTTTGCATTTAAAAGCTGATAACAGAAGCGGGAGAAACACAAGCTCTTAAACTATGGGGAGAATATGCAAACTGCACTAACTTATTACTTGAAGTCAGATATCATGTAACTTTACTGCTTGTAAGGTGTCTATTGTGCCTATTGTTCACCGTTTCTAATTATAGCTGCGAGTGTTTCCTTAAAATGTCAGGGAAGGTGCTGATGAATGTAATCTGAAGCCAGTGTGAAAAAAGAAGACTCGTTGGTGCTTTCATAACTAAGGATACTTTTGACGCAAGCTGAATGAGGACGCACAACACAACAGGACGGGCGCCCGTCCTTTGTTATGGTCATGTGCTGTGTTTGTGAGCCCTGTGTCCTCGATGAATGTGCACCAAAAGTGTCCTGAAGTATGAACCAGTGCTAACTAGCTCAAAGCAGGTTCCTGATAGTTGGTGCCATAAATTCGAAAAAGTCGATTATTTTTATAGGTGCTAAAAAACTCGGACTATAGATGTATCACAGCTGTAGAAAATGCTGTTCATTAGCTTTAAGCATTGACTTGGTACGCTGCTGTACTGATGCAATTTTTGGTGCCTTTCAGATTTTGCTGAAGTACGAGGTTCACTGTGACAAAGAAGACATGGAGTTTCATCGACGTTTGGGAAATGTACCAAATGAGTCAGTTGACTTTTCTTTCAAAAGAATTCCTTTGCCAGCTTTCCTATAGGTTGCTACGTAACACCTACCATACTTCGCGAAGAATGCGAGATGCTACAGGGTGATGATGTCCTATCATGATGCCATGTACTGAAAATAATTTAGTCGGGACTATTTCTCAGTGGATCACATAAAACATATTTCGGTTGCGCATGAATAAAAGCACAATACCTTTCATTGAGAAAGCGCAAGGGAAAACCATTCTGTTTCGCTCATTTTTTCTTTTTTCCTTCTTTTTTACCGCAACGAAGGTCCAGCAATTTCGGCCACACTATCATTGTAGGTCACTTGAGCAAGTATGTAAAGGACGAATAAGGGAGACATCCGAGATGTGCAAATGTAGCCGTCTCCTACAATGCGAGATACATCTGGCGCATATTCGGAATATATGTGGTGCAGTCGGGAACAGTAACAAGCTAGTAGTAAATGATTACTCATTACTAGTTACTTTTTTCAGTAACTTGTAACTGTAACCAGTTACTTATAGGTTAGAGGAACTTGTAACTGGGACATCGTTATTTTTAGATGCGAAGCAGCCCTTTGAGTAGCTTGTGTAACGCTCTCCCTCAGTACTAATGCGCTGCGTGCCACAGGTGCTGGTGTGGTGCCAAGTAGGTCACGCCGCTACTGCACATTGACATCACGTTCCACTCGCAATACGCGCTGACGTCACTCTCTCCCTCGTCTGGCACACTCTCACCGAGGTGCCCGCAGATGCCGCCTCGTCCGTTCACCCGCAACACCTGCCACGACCGCCGCTCACTGCACCGCTGACTCACTGGTTCACGCGCAATAAACCTGACTCGCGCCTAACGTGCGCACTGAAATGTTTCTGTACGTGTCACCTAAAGGCTAGTGCACACCGGCGACTAGCAGTGGTCGTGCGACCATTCGCGACTGGCGACGAAAAGGCGACTGATGTTCACACCGGCAGAGGCTGCATGCGAGTGGCCGGCAGTCGCCAAACCGGAGAATCACGTCCGGATCTCGTTATCAGCGAGAACTCTGTAGACCGGCCCCGATCAGCTGATCGCCGCCAGCTGAGTGAGCGGAGCGAACCGAGCGCGCCGCGTTTATTGTTTCCGTCCGTTCTCGCACAGCGTTCCCAACAGCGTCAAGTTAGATTCAAGCGAAGAACAAGACATTGTCATGGTGCCGGTGCACTGTGCCTTGGTGTCAGCACTGGCATCACAAATGCCTCCAAAGAAAACAATTGCCCGCAGCTTCCCTCGGGGGAACACTGAGGAGGATGCGGACCATATAATTGGTTAACGGGGTGTTAAAGTGCGACTTACTTGGGTCGATGGCTAAATTGGTTAACGTGGTTGTGAAATGGGGTGTTAAATCGCGACTTACTTGGGTCGATGGATAAATTGGTTAACGTGGTTGTAGGAGGGGGTGTTAAATGAGTGAACACGTACACACGTATGCGAAAGGGCGGCGCTGGTCGAAGGGACGACGATCATTGTGTTTGTGGATTCGTTGGAATTCATTTCACCGCGACCTTGGACGTCGACGCGCCGTACAAACCAACCGACGAGCGGCAACTGAGCGAGCGAGCGCCGACCTTGAGTATATATACAGCACGACGGCGCATGCACTGTCAGCTGTTGAATGTTCTCGAAGCGCGACGCCACATGCGCGTCCACTGGAGAATCAGGAGAATTGTAGATGTCGAACGCGGTGTGTAGAGGAGGAAGGGTGCACAGATGGTGGAGGAGTGAAGCGCGCGCGGTGTGTAGATGAGGAAGGGATGCACAGATGGTGGAAGAGCGGGCGACGGCGCGACGGCGCATGCGCGCGCGTCAGCTGTCGAATGTTCGAGAAGCGGTGCGGACGGCGCGGACGGCGCGGACGGCGCACTACAAGGCGCGAGTATAAGATGCTCCGCATCTAAAAGCTGGTAGTGGGCTTGACCGTCCTTTCGATCGCGGGAGTTGGTCGGCCATGCAAGCCGCCGGCCTCGCGAGCTGCGCTGAGGTGACGAGGAGTATTTCCGAGAGTCGTACGTATTCAGAAAAGGTCCTTGAATTTCACTTGACTTGCCACAGCCTACAATGTAGCACAAACGTGTCTCGAACGCGCTGTTTTAAGTCGTTGCCAAGGCATGAAGCACAAACGCGTTCCAAACGCGCTGCATTGCAGGCGGTGACAAGTCAAGTCCAAGTCAAAAAACGATTCTGAATACGGGGAAAAGATAGTGCACAATTTATTTTCTCTGTACTTTGACGGTGTTTGGCGTTTTGCGAATGGCGCCACGCAAATTTGACACTTTGCTCGAGTGGCTGTGCCCCGCCATCTCCAAGCCAAGTATTCCGTGGTGGCTATGGCGCCACAGACCTAGATGAACACATTCGATTGTATCTGGCGGCAGGAAGCCAGCGCAATGAAAAAACATAAAAAAATGAGCACCGTTGATTGGTTCCAGCAGCTTTGCGACTGCAGTCGCGCGACTGAAAATCGGTCAGGGAGTGACTAGTCAAAGCGGTCGCTTTGTGACCGTTTGCGACCGTTCGCGACTGTTTGCGAACAGTGACCTATGCCAGCCGTCGCTTCAAACGAATGTTCAAGCGCTCCCCGCAGCACCCGCGATGGCACCGTTCAACCCGTGACGCCACCCGTACGCAATACTGCTGCTTCGCATCTCATCGGGGTTCCTTTCGGGAAGTTTATCTAGCTTCATTTTAAGCAGGAAGTTTTAAGTGAAGCATCGTGAACGTTAGTCTACGTCTAAATACGCGACAGCAACACTCCTCAAATTCCGACGCCAGAGGCTTTCCACTTCTTTAAATTTTTTTACACCATATCTGCTGACTTTTCAACGAGTGAAGCCAATCTTTATAACCTTTTAAGAACGAAGCTGTTTGAGAGGTCGTATTAATTATGCTGTATTACGATTTATAAACGAATCTTCACTGCTGCACTAAGAAAAGAAGGCAACAGTTGGTCCCAAACTAAGGAACGGGAAATCGAACAGGTGGCAACAAAAAGTACAGAAAAGAGAAAAATACGTTCTATCCGTCATTTTGTTTCATATTCCTTTGCAAATGACTAATAGGGAATTGCGGCGGTTGACGCAAGCTGATGTGTACGCCGCGAATGCAAAATAATTCCAAGGGTCCCCCCTTTCCCTGATTCGTTAAGAAAGCTCCATCTTATTTGCGCTGTATGTGTTGCGCTAGTTAGACGCCTGTTGGGTCCTCTAAGTCTTGTTGATTCTTTACCACCTGTATCGCCGATTGTAAGTCGTGTAGTATTAGCCGCATTGTACTTGGAGATGACCCACCCCAGTCTGATCCTCGGCTGTTGGGTGGTTTTTCGGGTTTACGAACCGTTCAATGATATATTGAGGCCCAAAGACACTCTGCAGGCTCTGTGTGCTTGGAAGGCTACAAGAAGAGTGACTGATGCGTGTTTAACATGGATGATAGACGCAATGGATGTAGACTTTGCTCACGAGGCACTCTCCGTCTATCTTCGCATGTATTTGTTTGTGTAGTAAATAAAATTCTAGGACACTTGCGTCGTTCCACCCACGGCATCATCCAAATTTTCTATTTGTAGTATTCTAAAATGTGCACAATTTTGGAAAACCATCAAACTTTGAAGCTTAAAAAATTTTGAAATAAATACCCTTTTTTCCAACGTTGAACAAGCAAAAAACTTGATGCCATAAAATTAGGCGTACACATCAAGTCCTTGTGTCGGATGACCATCCAAGTTTCTTTCACCCATAATCTGACTCAATGCAGTTTTAAATACCCATATTCGGTCGTGCGTTTTTATTAACTGAAATGTGTCCTTTGATTTGTGATTACTTACGCATATTTGAAGAAACGGACAAGCAACGTCGTCCCTTTTTCACCGTAGCATCAATTGTAAATGGTTACTTTTGAACACACTGCAACTGTAACTATGACGTTGTTTTTTATTGTCAATGGTCCTATGAATGATCTGGCATTCGTTTTCTCTAAAAAAGCCAACTATAAGCGAAAGTGATAAAACCGACATTGTTCAGTATTGACAGAATAGTCTGGTCTGCATCAACAGCTTTCTGCAAGTGTCCTCCTGTCAGAAAAAAATAGTTCAAATCTACGTTGCGGCTGTTATCTATTCAGCTCAATGGGGTCGGTATCTAGGAATAAAATTTCAATTTGGTTCTTACGGTTTATTATATATAATTTGCGCTTGAATCACATACCCAAAGTTTGTCTGAATGGGCGCGAAGGAATGGTATAGCACTATTTTGCGACAAAATGTCGCATACGAATTCTTGAGTTTAGCATCTCTCAAGCAGGAGTGGGGAAAAATTAACACTATTTTCAATTTTCGTCGTTGCCGTCCTTTATTTCTGACCGTAATGCTGATTGTCAAGCTTGAAGATCGATTGGTTCTTCCTGAACCGTCGGCCGCGTTTTCATGTTTCTAGCCTTCTCAAACTTTTTGAGCTCTTCTTCTTGCTAGTTTGATGTCACGCCGTTTATAAACACTAGATCGTTGAGGATGATGGCTAGTGATATTTTATTGGGCAAGTACCAATTGATGGCCAAAAGCACAATTTCAGTAGACTCCACATATGAATAATGATTTGATGCGAGGCTGTAATGGGGCCTTAAAATTCATCGCGCTAACGTGGCCTAAAAATCACAGAAGTAATAAAATCATGACAGAGGCGTGAAATATGTGCAGTAAAAGTGGATGGGAAAATGTCATGATAATAAAACCATGGCGGAGATGTAGTCACCGCATAGACGACTTCGGTACAGAGGTCGTGCTATGGATTACCTTGAAATATGGGCTGAAAGCTATGAACATCCTATAAAATTGTGAAAAATATTGGAGTTTAAAACACCGAGCCCTACCGATGAGCATCATAGGGTGCAGTGGGAGCTGCTATTCACAGGGCAGTAAAAAGTTCTTTTTTCTTAGAACATCTAACTCATTGCACTGCAGCAGAATGCGGGGAACCGTGAGTGTTTCTCCACATCTCTCACACATTGGCGGATTACCGGTAGACAGATTATAATAATGTGGAGAGTGTGTATGTCCTGTTCTTAGTCTTGTACGTGTTACTTCTGTCTGTCGTGAATTTGATAGTGGTGGCCAATTACCTAGTTGTGGCTAAATAGCATGAAGTTTATTGTCTGTGGTTCTATGCCACGTGCTCTACCGATACCCCTGAGCTTTCGTTTTAGAAAAGG